CTTTCTGCTATCTCATACTTTATGTCAGCTAAATTTTAATTCCTATAGGACCATATATAAATATGGAAAAAGTGATGTTTGTTGGTGTATACATCTGGATGTGTCCAGTTGAGTATTTATCTCAGGTTGATAATGGGTGTTCGCGTTTCTGGTGCGGGACAATGTGAAACCCGAAATTCCTCAACGCGAATTTTCGGCGGCTCCTATGAAAGCGATCTAGGGATAGAACGCCGCACAGAGTTTCATTGAAACTCTTCCCAACATTTTTTAAAATCACTGTTGCAGATGCTCTAATGAGCAGTCCGAATGATGGAATATAGTAACGATCGATCAATGCACTAGATTATAGCCACCACTGCTTATTGTCGTACTTTATAAATTCTTTGTTTGTATATCATAAGTTTGTTGTATACGCGACCTGCTCTGTTCAGACATACTCCCAATAACTGCCGAAGCTGGTTTTCATTCGTACATCATAAGCTTCTCCAGCGAAGGGGTATTCGCGCTATCAGCTATACATATAGTGTGGATCTAGTACACATTTTGAAAAACTTATTAAACTAGTTACACGCAAAATATACAATCATCTTTACACAGAGTTCTTTCCAAACATCCCTACTTCGCCACATTTGTGCCACTATATTAACTTACTCGGGCCTTCCTCCAAGGACGTAGGCTTGGGCTCCACCCTTGAGAAAAGTGTATCAAAGAAAAAATAAAGAACTCTACGCAAACCAAGAGAGGGACGATGATAGACCCCAGTGTTACCCAGCTGCTACCAGGTATCATCTTGATTTACTCGGGCTTTCCTCCAAGGACGTAGGCTTGGGCTCCACCCTTCGAGAAAAAGAAAAGACATAAGGAGATTCATCAGCTAATGCAACTGGATTGAATCTAAAACAGATCTTAAGTGAGACTACGATTTCTGACTTACTGCGATCTTCCTTTCACGTAAAACATTTGGAGCGCTCATTGTATCCTAGCAACGAGGCCTAACAGAAAAAGTCCATTAGAGTGAGAAAAATACATTTTAGCGAAACTACTTGCGCATCTGCTATTATGTCAAACCTGTTGCTCACCACGTTCAATACTTGGTAAGGGTTGCTACAATTACGAACCTCCTGTAGAAGGTGGAAAATTGTGTGACGTGGTCCTGTCGGCCCCGCTATTGCCTCTGTCTGTCATGGGATCACCCAATCCTCTATTTATTTCGTTTACAGCAATTATCAATAAACAATCTCTTTCTTCCCTGCATTTCTATCTCTTGGCGCCGTTTTCGTCAAGTCGTTTCTCATCGGTTTCACTTCGTATGTGAGGGCAAGAAGGGTTCCTTGGCTCGATAGCCTCGTAATGGTCATTAATGGACGATTATTATAATATAGTTTTGATCTGCTCTTGTACTCCAATATCCCTGTTCTCAGACGTTATCTCTGTTCATTCAGACGTTGTATCTCTGCTCTGCAGTCGTTGTATCTCTGTCCTCCTCCTTCATTGAGGTATGGATTAGTCGTTTATATTTTGCTCCTATCATTTTTGCTATTATCCCCCTTTATCCCTGATATATGTATCGTTGTATGTAGGCATAGTGTGACAGTCTTTTTAAAGATCTTATTACAATACTCCGCGTTGTGACTTCGCGGATCTCGCGGCCAATTACATCGCGAGATTGGGCAACCAAACAGACCACAATATAAAAATCTCCGTGAAACGCCATATATCTCCATGCATCTCTTGTACTATTGTATTCCTGCAAGCACCGAGACTTGATTTCAAAATAGAGAAAGACAAGTTACTATTCCTTGTTTTTTCTCGCTATATATAAGCCTGGTAGTAAAAAGCTGGAGAATTCGGTAGGCTGGAGGACCCAACAATACAACCGCGATTGCAGTCCATGGATCACGCGGATTCTTTGTCAATTATTACAACGACGAGTACGCCTGACATCGGTCACACGTGTTGTCAAGGGTGCTCTTTACATGCGTGTGTCGCGGGAGACTTTTGTTATTGTCGCATTCATTCATACCAATCTGACCGGTGGTCTCAGCATCCGAAAAGTTGACCATCAGTAAGTCAGTAATATGAGCAAACAAAACGATCCATTAGTGCCACGCAAGAGCAATGTTCGGTTCAGATATTTACATCAGGCTGGACCAACAATGATCCAGACCGACTATATAATTTTGATATACCGTCTACGTTTGTATGTGTGATGGGACCAAGTGAGTATGTGAGCTTCATCAATAGGTGTTTGTATTCCAAAAAAGAGAACAAGGAGCACATCAAATTACTGCTCTTGCGTATATAAAACCGACTGTTTGAAAACAACTTGTGATTATCTACGTTAGTGCAGGCCTATCTGGTCCAGACACGATAGGCTCCATTGCAATCAAATTAGCAACCAATTCGCGCCGTTGCTCCCGTCCTAGAAAAGCCCAAATTGCTATAAGATATGATGAAAGGAAAGGAATAACGAATGAACCAAAAGCAGGTGACAGCCGCCGGGCATGAAATTGTAAGAATAAAGCATCCTTTGGAAATCTTAATACGCTTTATAATTTTTGGCGAACAACAAACTCGCTGCCGATTTTATATACCAAAACACGAAGAACAGGGTTGATATTATGCGTGAAGTATTACATAAATCGCCAAATCGAGGCAATAATAGCTTTGCTCCACGAATATCACTAAACACCTCAGCTCCTGCGTAAACGTGTGCTTCTGGAGAAAATATATCTTATACATACTACTGCTCCTTAGTTGATATAATTCTAAAATAAAATCAATGGCTTACTCACATCACCAATAATCTATAGAGTTTCAAAAATCAAAAATTTAATTCGACAAACATTTAATTGGGGTGGTTGTGAGTACCTAATAGGTGCCACCATGCCACCGATATACTATTCTTAAAAACAAAGGCTACATATGTCAGAGAAAAGGCAAGTCATTTACTCACAGACAAACCTTTACATTCGTTGTTGGCAGTTAAAGAACGAAGTTTTTCGTTTCTACACGCTTGCGCCATTCTTCCAGATGCATACGTTTTGAGTATTTCGGCAACAGCGTTGTTATCAGCTCCCCGACCAAGCGCAATACTCTCTCAAACATTGGATGTGAGTTCTTTTACCACGCTAATGTATCTTCTTTATACAGTACTCAACCAGAATAAAAATTCGACCATTTAGAAAATACTTGAAGTCATATCAATCTATTTTTCTTAGAAAGAAAGACATGGAATATACTTCCCACTTTTTCTACGTTGTTTCAATATCACGCTTATGTAACTATAAACTCGACTGTTCTACCGCTCATAATTGGAGCTCATCCGAAAAACGTTTGTTGAAGACAGGCGTAGCATTCCTGATTATACACATTTCTACGTATAGGTAAAAGTACAGAACTGACATCTATGACCCTGTCTATCACTTACTAGATTTGGTTTCATCTCTTATATGAGCCTTTACATGACTTTATGACAATCTTTTTTATTATTTATTAGCCTTTACTACAAACACAACTTGCAAGAAGATGCACCCTCGTCATGCTTATCACCATGGAGAGAAGTCATTACAGTCAAGGCGTCGCTAAGTAATCTGTACCATGCTACGTAGTTACTAACTGGTTCCTCCGGACCTAGAGTAGATCATCACATCATTAGAACATACCGGAATTCTTTCAGAGTATGTACATACATTCTTGTTATGTGACTACAGTACAGCATTAAACCATGTAGTAGCAGGCAGCACATCATCTAACTGCTCTTTTAGTGAAGTAAGGAAAAGCTTGGCACGTACTGCTTATAACAAAAGATGCAGTGTTTATTGTTGTTTTTGTTCAGTGCTGCAGCACGTATGATGCCGAAGAGTAGCACTATCCCGGTTGGTGCAACGGTAAATAAAAAAGGCCCTGATTTCTATTCTTAACCAAGGAAGCTCACAACAATTTGTACAGATGATAGACGACACTTACCTACTTAGGGCGCAAGCAAGTAACAACTTCTCTTTTTGACGGTTGATGGATGGTCACAAAAAGATCGGAGGACAAAATCCGTGCATACACAAGGGTTGTGGTTCTGCAAGCTGCCATATAATGTCATCCTCCTTCAATTTTGCTGTTGTTGTTGCAGGAACGATAATTTACCTTATCAAAGCATACATCATGCATGATTACATGCAGTCCAAACGCACGCATTCCAATTCTTACTCCAAAGATAAGTTTCTCACAAGCAAAAAACACGGCCATCAACCTTTCACAGCAAGATGTATAAGAATTATCAATTAATGTGCACGCCAACACACGTTCTCATGGAATAATAAGCGCAATTTTAGTTTTTGTGTAATGTGGCGCCATCGTTAGAGATACGTGTGTATGTGTGCTTTAAGGTTTTCCAACAAGGGATAAAGAAAAAGCACTAGTATAACGCTGACCAACTATTAGGAAGTCGAGTCGTTCTTGACCAGATAGGTCTGGAGATTATTGTAGAACAGCGGTGATATATCGTCAGTTGAGTGTGGCTAAGCCGTAAGCTCCGCGCTAAGGTAAGTCTTGTGCATTTCCTGGCATCGGCTTGGGTGTTCGCGGAGAGACCACGAAGAGCATGCGATCCTTTAAACAAAAGCACACGCACATTCGCAGTAATAAAAGACGGTCTCTATGATGGTATAAAACAGCAACGGAGGAGCTGTCGAGCTGTATATTAGGTGTTGGGAATAGGGAGAAAGGGAGTGACAACCCCAAGACGATGAACGGAGAGAAGGGGGGCTGGTTATACAAGAGCAGTAAGCTGGAGATATAGGGAAGGACCCGTCCCTACGCTACTGATTGTGAGTTATCCCAAAAAAGCAAGACGTAGCACACACACACACACACCGCAAACAGAAGCGCGTTTGATCCGCCGGTATACCAAAAAAAATCCTCAGCCTTGCTTCTTTTTGTGAGTGTGTGGGTGTGTGATGCCTCGCATCTAATTATAGATAACCATAGCAGCTTCCCTTTTCTCTCTTTCTTTTCGTTCTTTTTTATTTGCTTCTTTGCTTTTTGCGTTTCCTTTCCTATTTTCTAACCTCTTTACTCTGTATATGATATGGGCAGCTTAGCTGCAGCAGTAAAGGCTCGATGGGCACTAAAACAAAAAGACACCCTTAGCAGCCTACCTGCTCGACGAGACGAGAACTATGAAGAAATCATTATGACCAGCAGAGACACCAATAATACAGGTCAGCAACAATCCGGTCTGCCAAACGATGCAGCCAGCAGTCGCACAGGCAGCACAAGCAGCAGCAGTAGTATATTACGCCAGGCGAACGACGATTATACTACTACTGCTGTTGCTGCTGCTGCTGCTGCTACTACTCCTGGGGGAACAGCACCAGGAGGAGGAGGAGGAGGGAGAGGACCGACCAAGAACACCACCAATAACAGCAGCAGCAGCAGTAATAATAATAATAAAACAAGCGGCGTCAAGTTACGTCGTATTTACGGTGCCGCCCGACGAGTATTTGTGAATCTGCCATTACCAAAATACGAATTAGACAAGCACAGCAATCCCAAACGACAGTATGTAACGAACAAGGTGCGCACGTCAAAATATACGCTCTGGACATTTGTGCCGAAAAACTTGTTTGAACAATTCCGAAGAGCAGCCAACATGTACTTTCTCGGCATGGCGATTCTTCAACTGATACCTTATTTCGGAGTCGACTCGCCTGCATTGACGTTACTCCCTATCTGCGTCGTTGTCGCTATTACTGCGATCAAGGATGGATTTGAAGATTATCAGCGTCACAAGGTTGACGCACGTTATAACGGCAGTATATCGCATACGCTTATTGGATACAGTAATCCGAATTATCCACATAACATTCCATTATCGTTTTGGCAAAGGCTGCGAGGTAAAAAGCGGCAGCAACAGATAACAGCAGCAGCAGCATCACCATTATCACCGTCATCACCAACGAGCCCAACACAGCAGCTCACAATACCAGCAGTAATAGATGACAAGCGAGGCGTATTTGGGCGATCGCTATCGATGGATGTACGAGTAGGCGATTTTATTCTTTTACGGAACGGTGAAAGCTGTCCTGCAGACGCAGTGCTCGTGTCCAGTTCAGATGCATCGGGGATCTGTTTTGTAGAAACTAAAGACTTGGACGGCGAAACTAACCTCAAACCTCGTCACGGTATCCCTGAGTTAAACCATATCCAGTCAGGCGCCGAATGCTTGGACGATGTTCACTTTTACATTGAAGCAGGTGCTCCCACACCTGACCTATACACGTTTGAGGGCACTCTGGTGCTGCTCGACAAGGACGGCACTAGCGACGGCTGGACAGAACGCAAAAAAGTACCTATTGGGATCGACAATTTGGTGCTCCGGGGTCACGTTGTCAGAAACACGCATTGGGCGATTGCGATTGTGTTGTACACAGGCACAGAATCGAAAATCATTCAAAACTCGGGCGAAACGCCGAGCAAACGAAGTCGGATAGAAAAGCAGATGAACGAAGAGGTAGGCTATCGTTGGTTGTTGTTGTTGTTGTTGTTGTTGTTACCCTGTCAGCAGGGTACCAAAGTGCACATGTGTGAGGCGGAAAAGAGAAATGCTGTGTAATAATTTTTACTATATTATACAAAAGCCGGAAAGTTCTAATATATACCTACTTATTACAAGGTCATTATAGCATTTGTCGTCTTATTCATATTGTGCCTCGTCTGTGCAATTTTAGCCGGATTTATGAAGGCCGCCGATGACAGTGATGCGGGAACGAGTTTGTATTCGCATGAAACAAACACCCCGGCTTTCTGGGGCTTCACGATATTCTGGTAAGTCGCTTGTTCTCGGAAGCGGAATACGATGCGATGGTAATGCAACGGCTAACGAACGGAAACGTAGGTCGAGTTTGATCACGTTTCAGAACATTATACCCATTTCATTATATGTTTCTATTGAATTCGTGAAAACCTTCCAGGTAAAGTCTTGGCATTGCACCAGACAGCGAGCTACTTTTGCCACGTGCTATTTCCATCAGTCTGACAGCGCACCTTCATCACTCTACTGATAGGCCTATTTTATATGGAGCGACCTGGACATGTACGACGAAGCCACAGACACAGCATGTACACCCAAATCCGTGAGTTAGACATCTCTCCAGCAGAGCACAACCATCACATGAGTCCTGTAGAATGGAGTTAAAAAAAAGGTAGCTGACGCGGCAAGCATATTTATAGTGGAATCTGTCTGATGAGCTCGGCCAAGTGGAATATCTCTTTTCAGACAAGACCGGTACCTTGACTAGAAACATTATGGAATTCCGAGAATGCACCATTGGGGGCAAGCGATATGGAAATAATGGATTTTCTCCCGAATCGGAAGGCGCAAAAGGAGCTCGAATTCGCAATGAAAAAGGCAACAGCAACAACAACAATGAGCTAGTCGCTACAGAAGATCAGCATACCGGTTTATTAGCCACAGATGACGCGGTGTTAGTTGAAGAAAAGGACGTGCTTTCCGACGAAGCAGTAGCAGCGGATCAACAACACGCTTTCAAACAGCGCCGCCTGACCATCTTTGAAGATTACAAACGAGGATTGTATTCGCTATTCACACCACGCTACAGCAGTCTCGACCCGGATCGCCTGCCATTCGCTGACCCGCGCATCTTCTGGGATCTTCAGCCCAAGGCCAGCCCAACGCAAACGAGCACGACGTCTGAATTGACGGCAGCCGCGTCTTCTGCGCAGGACCGGATCCAGGAATTTTTCATGCTGTTAGCTCTGTGTCACACTGTCGTTGTAGACAAAATTGACAAGGAAGGCAAGGTCATCATGGACAACGATGGCGAGCTGGATGACGAAGAGAACGAGCAGCCACAAGTGACGGAAGAGAACAACCCAGTGTACCCGTCGAACGAACGAAGCGGCAGAAGCAGCAAAGGGCTCAGGAAAAAGCTGAAAAAGAACTTACGACGACGCAAGAAGGACAAGCTCAGACGCAAGAGCAGCACACGCGGCGAAGAATTTGAATCACTCATCAATGTCGAGCGGCCCGATATTGTGGACAGCACGGTCGAGACCCAATTAATATACAAGGCAGAATCGCCAGATGAAGCCGCTCTGGTCAGTGCCGCACGAGATTTGGGCTTTTCATTTTTGTCACGGCAGGGCAAACGCCTTACTGTCGATATCCTGGGCACCGAATACGAGTTCGAGCTGCTCAATACCTTGGACTTCAACTCGACCCGAAAACGGATGAGCGTCATTTTGAAACGACCGGAACCTTGGAACGACATTGTGCTGTATTGCAAAGGTGCCGACAATGTGATTCTAGAGCGCCTTGATGCAAAGACACAGTCAAAGGATATACTACAACAAACTCAGAGCGACGTGGATGCGTTCTCGAACGACGGATTGCGGACACTTATGCTTGCCTGTAAGACGCTAACACCCGAAGAATACGAACAATGGAACTCTGAGATCGAAGCGGCAAGCACGGCAGTGGAAAATCGGCTTGAGAAGATTGATGCAGTACAAGATGCCATTGAGCAAAACTTGACTTTGCTTGGTGCGACAGGTATTGAAGACAAGCTGCAAGAAGGTGTGCCTCAGTGCATCGAGGATCTCAGACGCGCAGGCATCAAGGTCTGGGTGCTGACGGGGGACAAGCTCGAAACGGCTATCAATATTGGATACGCAAGCAATTTACTTGACGGAAACATGAATCTGTGGACGCTGCGTGGCAACAATAATGTCGTAGAAGACATGGACGACACGATGGCCCAGATATCGGCAGCTATAGCTAAAGACGATATGACCGAAAACGCGCTCATTATTGAGGGATCTGCATTGACGAAGCTATACGAAACGGAAGAGCTCAAAGGTCGATTGCTCGAACTGTCACTTCTGTGCAAGAGCGTACTCTGTTGTCGCGTCAGCCCCTTGCAAAAGGCCCTGGTTGTGGAAATGGTGAAGCAAGGCAAAGACGCAGTGACGCTGGCAGTTGGTGACGGCGCCAATGATGTGAGCATGATCCAAGCAGCCAATATTGGCGTCGGTATTGCTGGTCAGGAAGGTGTTCAAGCATCCATGGCCTCAGATTACGCGATTGCCCAGTTCCGGTTTCTGCACAAACTTTTGTTGGTGCAAGGTCACTGGAACTACCATCGTATCTCGGAAATGATTCTCAACTTCTTTTACAAGAATGTTCTCTGGGTGTTCCCGTCTCTATGGTACCAGATTTATAGCCGATTCTCTGGCAACATCTTTTACGATTATTCCTTCCTACAACTGTACAACGTCATTTTCACTGTTGCACCTGTGGTTGTCTTGGGTAAGAAACAAAGAGTTGATTTAATACCAGGATACTTTGCGATTCTTGGATTACTAATCCTGATTATGATGAACTAGGTTGCACTGATGAAACCATCACTGCTCCCTATCTACGTAAATACCCTCAAGTCTATGAAGTTGGCACCGACCATCGACTCTATACACGAATCCGATATTGGCTTTACTTTGGCGATGCAGTGTGGCACTCGCTTGTACTCTTTTACGCATACTTTTTTGCATACGATGGCTTTGATCCAAATCCGAACGGCCGACCAAGCTCTATGCTCCAATTCTCATCAGCAGTTGCTCTTGCCGCTGTGATAGTAGCCAACCTTATGCTCGGATTCAACACCTATTACTGGACATGGTTCCAATTCTTCTTTGTGATTGCCGAAATCCTCGTGACATTTTTGTTTACCTTGATCTATGGTCTTTTCCAGGACGTCAATATCTATGGCATGGGCACGATGCTTTACGGTGGCTGGTCATTCTGGTTGATCCTTTTGCTCGCGGTGATCGTCTCCTTTTTGCCGCGCTACGTCGTTGTTTTTGTCAAACAATGGTGGTATGCAGATGTCATGCATACGGTGCGGCATGTAGAAAAACACGACAAGCAGCAGCGCAAAAAGAATCGAAAAAAGGATGCATCCTTGTTGTTGAAGGATGCCGATGGCCGAGGACGACGACAACGTGGAGGAGGAGGTCCTTTCAATAAGTTGTTCCAGGCCTTTTGTTAAACAATAATAATATAATAATAATTTACCAATTTGTGATATATACCACATTTTTCTCTTCTACTCCTTTTCCTCCCACAGCTTATTTTTTTTTTGCTTTGCTTATTTGTATATTATGATACTGTTCTTTTCAATTCAAACGTTGTACAAAGTTTGACATTGGACTGATCAATTTCCTTTTAGATGTATTGTATATGTTGTTTATTTTATGGGTTGAGAATACATGTTGTACAATGTGGAATCCTTCTTTTGGGGGAGAGATGTGGAAGAAAGGCTACTAAGTTAAACAACAGTGAGATTGAAAATAGTTTAATGAGCCAGCATTAGTTTGTTTTTTGGAAGAGATATCTCTATGCAATTGACCAGCAAGGAAAGAATAGAGATGGGATGAAAGCACTGCTTTCTATTCTACTGTAGTGATATACACGTATAATACTTGTGCATGGTTCAATAGATGTGCAGTTGCGCACATGAGAAAGAAACATGACATATTTAATAAGGGACTGGGATGGGGGATTTATGTTGATAAATGAAAAAAAAAACAAAGTTCTTTAAGCAAAGCTCCAAGAGATGTCGATACGACCATCGTTCAAATCAGCGAGCTCAGTGAAAGCTGCAGGGCTCAAATCGACATCACCATAGGCACAGGTTGGGCACTAATATACAGAGGAGGAGGATTAGCTGCATGTTCCAGCATCGAATAGAGCACGCCTTTTTCTTATTACTACTTGTGACTTTAATATACTGTACATACCGTATCAACGATAGTGACCGTGACAGAGCCATTAGGACCAGAGATATTAAGCTTGTCACCACACTTAGGGTTGTCGTTGGGATTATCACCGTTCTCCATCTGAATTTGGTTCAATGCAGCAACGTATTCAGAGTTGCTGTTTGTCTGGCCACAGCTGCCCAAGCCGACGGTGTACCTATAGACGCAATTACATTTGGTTTTGTTAGTACATGTACCTCTTATTGAATACAGGCCTTATGTGCAATGTTAATAGGGGGACTTACCAAGTTCCTTCACCAGAGTAATCGCCACCTCCACCGCTGCTGCTGCTGCCACTGCTACCTGTCTCTTCGGCTTCCTCGGTTGTGGTTGTGGTGGTTGTGGTGGTAGTGGTAGTCGTTGTCGTTGGCTCTGGTGCTTCGGTAGTTGTAGTAGTAGTGTGGGTAGTGGTTGGCTCGGGCTCCTCAGTAGTAGTTGTCGTGTGCGTTGTTGTTGGCTCGGGCTCCTCAGTAGTAGTTGTCGTGTGGTGCGTTGTTGGCTTGGGTTCCTCAGTAGTTGTTGTAGTGGTGTATTCAGGTTCATATTCCTTGGTCGTAGTAGTGACATCGTGTGTTTCCTTGGCTACAGGAGTAGTGGTAGTGGTAGTAGCAGGATACTCTTGTTCGTCGTTGTCATCTTGGTGATGGTGACCACGAGGCTTGTGTTCGTCGTCATCTTCGTCATCGCTCTTTTCGTTGCTATGCTTCGATCCTTCCTCGTAATAACCAGCATTACTTTGGTGACGATCGGCGCTATGGCAACGCTTACGCAACGAATTACGTTCGACAGGCAATGGAGCGGCCAAGACCATGCTTAGACACGCAAGGGCAACGATAAAAAGAGCAAGAAGGTGTTTTGAACAAGTCATTTTAGATATACAGAACAATTGAAGTATACAAAATAGGGAATGTGATGGGGTTTTTGTAGAGCGCAGCTCGACGTTAATAGAAAATGTTTGAGGGATTTGAGAGACAAAGAAAGAAGGAAGAACAACAAAAAAAACTAGTTTGTCGCTGTCTTTTATATATGAAGGCGGCTTGTAAAGATTTGTAATAGGTGGTCCGGGTGCCTGCGTTGCTGCTGTTTCCAATGTGGGCAAATTACCGAATCTCTTTTGTTTCTTTTCTGCGTAACTACGGAGCGCAGCGTTCTGTTCTATAGAACTCATAATGGACCAGCCATTGTGTGTGACAGACAACATCAGCATCATCAACAAGAGCAGCCATCTCCGTTTCAAATTGATCGCGCCCCATCGTATTTCCGCCCGTCTCTCATCTTTCGTGAACAAACGAGACAAAAGGCTCTTATATTCTATTTCCCTTCAATGTCCTGTGTAAGTGCGTGCGTAACAATTGGGCGTCGAAATCAGTATGTATTAATACAGAGAGAACAACAAAAAGCTTATTCGTGTATTGTATGAGAAATAAGCTTGCATCAAATTACACCCTTAAGCCTAGGCTATGCAGAATACAGACACAGGAAAAACGGAGGGTTGTGGGTCCGTTCTCCAGCGAAAAAAATTTTCGCTGTCATGACTATCATTGCGCGCATTGAGATCGTGATATAAAACCACAAGAGAAACGTGAAGAAATGGCATGGTGGCGTTTTGTCCTACCTCTCTGCGTCTTGACCATTTACTGTATTGCTATTGTTGTTGCTGTTTGTTATATTACAACCTTATTTGGAGACAAAAGAGAACAAAAAAGGGGGTCAGGGAACCGGGCGGACCATGGCATGGTTGCACCCGATTTTCATATATGGCTAATTACCATACAACTCTATTTTTCTTGACCTTCTTTTCCTTTCATATCCGCGCTTATCGAGACTCACCCCACCACGGTCTTTTTTATTGAATGCGACATATAACGCTCGCTTGAGCTTTCTACAGAAACGAACGACGACAACAGCAACAATAACAACAGATTGAGTCGCCGGTTGGATTCTCTGTTTTGTCATACGCCATGTTTTTGATCTGGGAACCTTTCCTTTTCTCTTTAACAACCGACGATGATGATGCTTGCAGATCAATTATATTCACCACGCATGCGTGTTTTGTGGCCGTTTCCTCAAAATGGTGCACTGTGCATCCCTTTAAGCAATGTAAATGCCACGTTGCTGTATTAATGCTTCATTAACTTTATTAATCAAGCCCTCAATTCCTTTTGCTTTGACTTGGATAGAGATAATGTGGTCTTAGCGTACCATGACGCCTCGCCGATGTATTGAAAAGAGATTAGTAGACGTGGAATTAGAATTGCACTTTCATCGTCGGTTACAAAAAGCCATAAACAAAGAATAAGCCGAGGTGGCCCCGGAGCTGATTGCGCATTTAGATCTAGGACACACGACTCTATATTCGCGTAAATTGTGTGTGTTTTCGATGATGCTTCGAAAAAAAATGAGACTGTATGAGTGGAATATACGGTCGCACACGTTCGAAACATGCACTGTATGTTCGTTATACAAACACGGGCGTTTGAAAGGAGACACAGTACGAGGGCCTTTCTTTCTTCTAGTTCGTTTGATCAGGGTACCTATAAGCCGTCCAACATTGTTATTGTTGGGGAGGAAAGCAATTGATTGTGTAATCCATCATGAAAAACCGCCGTCTCATGGCATCACCAACAGTCTACCCGTTGTTATCGCAACTTCACTTTATGGCATCATACACTCACAAGCGTGTGATACTTCTTGCGGTTACCATTGGGCAAATGATGGCCATGGTAATAAAAGAAGCACTGACAACACCTATATTACCACGTTATCAACCAGGCACAAAAAGCAATTAGAGTGATTATTAAGTACCACCCATCATCTCACTTGCATTACCCCTTTTTGATAAGATTGCCAGTCGTTCACGCGGAACTCGCGGGCCCGCGCTGTTCGCAATTTTACATTTGGAAAAATTGAACGTTGCACAATGTCCGGCGAGGGCAAAACTCGGATGAGCTCTCTACGATATAATTGTTTTTTACTATATCTTTCTCAACAACAACAACAACTGTTGAGCTTTTCCTATTACGACACCCGCTCCTTAAAATCCTGTTGCTCGCTATTACGTAGTATCCAATACGCCCAGCATCACGCAGGATTCTTTTTGGAAATGGCGGCTGAGTTTTTTCTCAGGATGGCGGTAAGGCATTCGACATCTAAAACTTGGCACGACATTTTTTCAACTTGGCGCGATGATTGGTTTCTGACACGGATTAAAGTATACGTTATAGTCGCTGAACAACGATGTCATTTTTTTGAGCTTGGGAAGTGTTGATACGTCTATATCTAGTAAGAGTATGTTCCTTATTTATCATCAAAAAGAAGAAGCTTCAGGTATTATGACTCGTTGTCAAAACGTGAGCTACTCATGATATTGGTACATACACCATAAAAAAGCTCTTATAATCAAACTCGCTACAATTAACGAGTGTACGTAAGACTTCTGTTTCTGTGCGCCATCCTTTCTTCCACTAAAGCTACTTATTTATGCAATTTGATATTGATACGTTTAGCCTCTGGTAACGAGACAATTTCAGAGCCCTCACAAATAGATCACGATTAATATTAGCGACGTAAATCTGGGCTGATTTGTCCGCTGTCATCGGCCGAAGGAAATGGACAAATCAGATAGAGACGACGATTACACTACTGCATCAACTAGAACTTGCTGTGTACTAGATCAATCCAAACTCGGTTCCTCTTCGATGCTTCAGTACATCCATACATGCAACTTCCCCAGTAGATTCGTTGGGAGGTCTAAGAAAGAAGAGTCATCATCATCCTTCTCATCTATACACACTATGCTGGTATGCTGAATAAGACTTTGGGTCAGCTCGTTTTTTAGAATAAAATAGCACTGGTACATCATTACGAATGCCGCATAGTAAAATGATCCACAATGACATCATAGGGATGGATTAACTTTAATCAAATTAATATACTTTTTTCTTGACTAGTGGAACAGTGTTTGGTAACTTTTTCGCGTGTCGAAACGAAGCACGGTGGTGCCTGTATATGTAAGGTGGTCTGTGCGACACGGTTTATTGCTACCAATTTTATTGGTTGCATATCCAGGGAAACAAAAGAATCGAAACGTCCACGGAAGCATGCAAGTCAACATAGGTACAATTTTCGATAATGACTCACCAGCAAAGGTAATGCCAACAGTGATCAAGTGCAATGACAGTAGGAAAATAAAGTAAGAAGTCGATCACCCCAGGTTTAGAATGATTATAAACGCATCAAGGTACATCTTTCAGAAGAGTACAAGTGTACCCAAGCGAAATCATTATAGTCTACAAGAATGCCAGCATCCTATCAATGGGGATTGACCCTTCCTTTCCGCCTATAATTTGATATGACTGTAACTCTTTCTTCTCGTCATTCTTCTTATAAAAGATTATTTCTTGTGGAAACTTCTAGCCTTATGTTGAAGTGTGAAAACAATGTCATCGATTCATTTCTTCACGATGTACGCGTGTGTCTCCTGCGTGTACGTGTGAATCGTACAGCTGACATGCAAAGAGCTCTACAAACACGACAACGAATAGCATAATATGGTCTATAAAATTGGGAATCTAACTTCAACACCTGCTATACGGTATATCATGACGACATCGTTTTATTTAGATTCGCTAATGCATGAATAGTTTATATATACATCAAGCGAAACTGTTAATTTAGATATGCACCCCGCTTCATAAATGGCTATAGATGTATGTATATAGCTCAATTATCATTATAAAAAAGTCTCTTTCTTGAAGTTATGATTTGCGCGTTTTACGACGAAAAACTTCCAAGATTTGATTCAAGAATTAGTGTCGAAGGACATTGTTCACTCGTGGATGCAAAGACGTGTAAATACTTGCAATTTCTTCCAAAAAAAATGCATACATTGATCAGAATACAGTAAATTTTGGTTCAAGAAGTCGTTGACATTCTCTGTTTTTAAACTGGTGAAAATAAAAACAACGCGTGATACACCGGTTAGATAAAAACATGCCTGTTTAAGTGATATTATAAGAATAATCCCTAGCACAGATATCAAACACGATATCCACTGTTCACCCTGTGTCGTACCGACTAAATCTTTAAGCTCTGATATTCCCATTGTACTGTCTGCATATCACCTGTTCGATTTTTTTTGCTTCGCTGAAAAGCGCAGCGAGACGTACACTCCATCTATTAAGCACCTCACTTTTAGTTTTCTCCCTCCTATTCTTCTAGCAATTTGTTTCGTGTTTGTTGACATTTTTGGTTACATAGAAACTTCTAACAATAGCCGATAGCCATATGATTATTCTCATTACATTTGCTTGACTTCATTTCTTGAAATATCGGAATGTAGTATATCTTGCGTTTCGGCATCTACAAGATAGATCCTCTCTGAACATTTCTACTTCAAGAAGCCAGCAAATACATATATTACCGTAAAAACTTCATTCAGCACGTGTAAATAATTTGTATGATGTTTATTTATACGCTCACATTGATGCTATGTCTTCACATACTGTACAGGACGTCTTGTCTTTTTGCCGCCTACCCCTTCAGACCTTTTTCGTCTTCGTTCCAATATACGCAGTTGAACTTTGTTTTGTATTACCATTCCATTGAGCAGAAATCAAGGAAAATTTGTCATCAAAAATTTTGCGTATGATGATTGTATTTCAGTTTTTATGATTTCTTTTTGGTATACATGCTGTTGATAAAGTCTTCGATATAAGAAGATTTGTCAAGAGCGTATAAGAGTAATCCCTTTTCCGATTTTGCACCAATGATTGATTTTCGGATTCGCTCATGATATTCTTGGTAAGTGAAGAATTCAGGAATAATTTTCTTGGGATCATCAATGCTTGATCTGTTGTATCTTTTGTGTATGCATACAGTAATGTGATGATATAAGGAGGAAAAGAACAACCAATTCTTAAAGAACGAGTGCAATTTGTTTAAAGACTCCCGCCCACTGAAAGATTTCCACCGTAGTAAAGACATATCTTCACTAGGCTGACTGAGTTGGAGTCAGAGCTGGAGAGCTTCTGTTGTCCCTCTGGTCATTTTCCATAATAAATTTGCTAGCTTATTGTTATACACACTACAACAACAAAAAACCACAAGGGATACGCTTCTGTGATCCCAGAGCAGCTTGTTACTGGTTTGATCTGTCGAAAATGCGGTTACTGTCGAACTTGGACTATTAAATCTTGAAGCAGAACAATGTCGTAAGGATATACCTATATTCTTTATTGCATAAAATACTGGGCATCTCGAGATTGCACCAATAACTACTGCTTTCTCTTCAATAGACATACATATTAGTCAAAGAAGTTTTGTAATAGTGGATGCTTTTTATTCTTATTCTTAACGCAAGTCACTACATTAAAAATACGGGCGTTCATTATTTGGAAAGAAATCAGTAGATGTATTTGATGACGTATCAGTTGGCTTCCAAACCACAGCAACGCATCGACAACGATCTTCCTTGTGCCTCCCCGCTTGAAGACGGGTTGTAAGGCTCTATAGCATAGAGCTAATATGTCCGACAAGCGTGGACGCTGTGCTCACTGAAACAACATTTTTGATATCCGCACGTGCATCAAATTCGAAAGAATAATTATAAGCCAAAGAAAATGGGTTGTTGTACCAGCGTGTGAATGGATGCTGGCTGAAAGGCTGTTCAGGATAAAGGCGCTATGATAATTTGCCAGCCATGCAGGATAATTGGGAGGAAACATGCATTGTCTCTGGACACGAGCACAAAAATGTCATACAGAAAATATGAGGAGAGAGGTCGCCGCAAATAAAGAAATTTGTGGAGAGAGAAGGGGTGACAGCCATGAGCTTATTGGTGGAACCGTTCTCAGAAGAACGACTGGAAATGGAGGTGATTTGCGCCCTTGATTTGAGCGGCCGCACAGGCAGACATAGCATATTTATTACCCATCAGACACATTGCACAAAGGAGAAATGAAACGGAAGAACTCGTTTGAAAAAGAGAGAAGAGGATTGGGTTAGTTTGAAGACGATGGCTGCTGATGAGCTATCATAGTGGGTGGATGGGTGGTATCGTCCACATGGGACTCACAACGTCCTCTCTTTTGATGTGTGATGGCGTAATGGAAGGCAGAGGCAGCGCACGTGGTGCCCAGCAGCCAGCGGCATTCGATACAACGTTTGTCTTGTAGCAATAGGCAGGGTCCTGTTTCAAACGCTGGAATAAAATGAGGATTTCCCATTTTCGAAGGTTCATGACATTAGCTGTGTTTGGAAGCAGCCAACCAAATAGCTGAAGGCACGCACGCGGGCTGATTGGCCTTGCTTCGAGCAGACGTCGACATTCTCCTTGATGGTTGGTCGGTCCGAAACCGATTTTTCGAAAACCACTCGTGCGGCAAGGACACACACGCACTAAACAGCACATACACACACAAAGCCATACACACCTTCTCAAACCACATCCCCCCACCAACCAACCAATCCACCCATCCGCCCCTGTTCTCTCCTCTTTTACTTTTCTTCTATTTTTCGCCTTTTCCATTTCACATATCTTTATCTCACTCTTCTATCCTTTCGAACCCATGTTAGCATGAACGTCGCAGAGTTTCCAGTCTCCACTCTGCTTAGCATGGTTGCCAACTTGCTCGAATCCCTCGTCAAAGCAAACGATCTACTTGTGCCAGACAACAGCAAGACCATCAATATCACCGTATTTCATTCCAGAGCCGTCCCCAACATCAAAATCAACGCCTACCTTTCAAGAGTATTACAGTATACACCCTTCAACAACGAAGTCCTGCTCAGCATCTTGGTCTATTTTGACAGGATCTCAAAGCTAAGGCCAGGCAAGTTTATCGTCAACTCGCTGAACGTCCATCGACTGCTTATTGCCAGGTACCAACAACAACAGCCCAGAATAGCTATATAGCACACAACGGTCTCCATTCGTTTACTAATATATAAACCAATCATCATCCATTAGTGTCGTTGTAGCTTCCAAATTCACTTCAGATGTCTTTTATACGAACGCACGCTACGCCAAGGTACGACATGTTTGGTGGAAAGAAAAGAACAAAGGAAGAAAAACAAGCCTGCATACATTTACGTGCCAAGGCAGACTTCAAACTGTCGCAAAAGCTAATTTATGCACTTTCTAACTCACATTGACTGTGGATATCACAAAAATAGGTCGGCGGATTACCACTGCTGGAGCTAAACAAGCTCGAGATGGAGTTTCTTTTTCTATGCAACTTCAATCTGCACGTACGCCTGGAAGCCATGCAAGAATATGGCGATCAGCTACTGGCCCTCAGTCTGTGCCAGAAACAACAGCAAAAACTGGGCCTGGCGCTAGATCCAATGCCGACAGCAACAGTAGCAGCAGCGACAGCAGCAGCAAGTCGTAAACGAAAAAGGACAATAACAACAGCATCCTCTTCAGAGAACAGCATCAGCATCTTCAGTAATTACAATACAGCTTCTACTACTTCTACTACTATCACTACTTCTACAGCATGCATCAAACAAAACAGCAATATCAACATTAACAACAGTAGCAACAATCATCGTCATCGTCATCATCCTCACTTGTCATATCATCAACATCAAACTCATGTACATCTTCCACTCACACCTCCAACACCCCCATATACCACTACATCGCCAAGAAATATTAAGCGGCGTCGTTGATCGAGTAACACTAATCTGTACACTTAAAAAGAAAAGCTGGGAACTTTTTTGCCGTTTGGGTTTCACACACTTTAAATGCTTTTTACTCCCTTCTTGCATGCCACTTTCGTAACATCTTCCAAAGAAAAGGAAAAGAGCAATGCCTTCCTTCTTTAATCAGTTACTCGCTCCATTCAATCGTCGAAGGCGCAAAGTCACCACCAAAGCCGTTGATCATAACAACAGCGACAACCACAATAACGCAAGTCGTTCAACCCCACTTTCTCCTCCTCAACCTGAGACGGCTCCAGTACTAGTATACACAACAGCGCAGCAGCAGCGACAGCAAGAACAAGCAACTGTTGTCTTTTCAGATCAACCAAGGACCAGCATTACGAGTAGTAGCAGTGTTATTGTCGAAAGTTTGGAGTTTAAAGCGTCGCAAGAGCTGGCGCTTTCACTCGACAACTGGAACGATCCGTCTGCTGTGAAGCCGTCATTCCCTGCGTTTGAATACTTGCTCCATCAACAAGAAGAAAAGGAACAAGAGCGACAAGGGCCGCGCAGATCTTTTCGGCGTTTGCCACGCCCTCTTTCGCTGTACAGGTCGAATAATAAGAAGTCACCAAAAATGGCTCGCTCAACTCCCAATCTCAAGCAGCAGCAATGAAAAGAAGGAAAAAGCTTCTTCAACCTCCCCAGTGTTTATCGTTTGATACCTTGTATACCCCCGTTCTTAAATATCTTACTGTATTATACTTACTTACACACACTTCCTGCTACTTGTATTTTTTCATAACCGAAAGAAACACCTGATTTTAAATTCTAAATCTGAGTATTACTTGTCGTTCTTACCAAAAAAGAAATATCCCTTTTTCTGCGTTTTTTCTTGTCATTCATATAGCCTTCGCCCTGACTGATGCAACGGGGATCAGCAAGACCCCAACGAACTCAAAACAACAGTAATGGCAACTCGACTGGCAGTGCGACGAGGCACCACCAACAACAGTCAAACGATGATCGACCAGCCATAATTCGTGAAAAGGAACAAGAGCTTTGCGAACTTTCCAAAATTAAAAAGCAAAGTGAAGAACTCGTCCATTTCTTTGAAGAATTACAGCAGAACATGCACAACCTAGCCGAAGATGTAAAAGGTACCTTTATTTTTGGGGCGTTGGCAAGAGATATAAAAGGTGTTTTATCAGTTAGTAAGCACGCACGCGTGTTGGGCACGCGTGTGTGTAGTTCGTTTGTCTTGGGTCAAACGTTCCAAGTCAACAAAAGAAATGTACACGTGCTCACACATCGACTTGTTCATAGGCACGGCAGACACCCTTACAAACTGGAATCACGTTTTCCGTATCATGGCATCAACCGAAGATGAAGACCCAGACGCGAGCCCAATGTTTGTGCGCATGCCAATGAAGGACTCCCAGGCTTCTTCGTCTTCATCAGAGTCAATATCATCATCATTGGCATCTTCTTCCTCTACTCCTCAACAGCAACAGCGTCAGCCACAACAATCACATCAGCACCGTCTGCGGCAACGTCAACGGCAATAACACCGATAGCATATTATATATATATCTTTTTATCCTTATGTAAAAATTGAGTAATGGATGTTTACATATGTAATTTTTCTCTTTTTAAGAACTGTGAGTTGTTTTTCTTATTTTGTGTGTGGTATATACGATGTGGAGGGGTTATCTCTTGTTTTTTGTGTATGTGAAGATGTGCGGTTATCTTTTTTTAGGTTCGATGAGCAATACAACTCTTTATCGGATCAACAACATCACCCGAGTTCCATTGATGGAATGTCATGCCTATAACAGATATCATACTGATTTCATATGTACGTTTTTAGTTACCACGACGGACGGACACTTCATTGGTGATGGTGATACACTTCCAACCCATTCCCATCTTATTACACAACACCAACACGTAGAGAGAGTGAGAGATTATTAAAGTACCATATGACACCGAATCCAATCAAGGCAATATCTGCAGCACGTCGCATCGGAGGAAGTGATAATGCCTTGATATGGAACAATGGAGGAAACACGAAACATAGCGGTATACAGAAAAGGGCGCCAATGAGCGACACAAACTTGTCCAGCTTGTCTCTTGACCCAACAATTGCAATCCAAGCGCATAAAAAAACAACCAGCACCCGAAAAACGTTCTTTTGCCACTTGACAACTGCATTGTTCTTGCCCGACCGTGTCGTGAATAGTCCGTTTTCCATGATTCTAATGGCCGGAAACAGTTGTAAGGGTATAGAGAGGCAGATAGCGAGAGAGTACAGCGTTTGGATGGATGACACCATTGGGTCTTTGCTGGGCAAATTGAGGAGGATGATCGTCTGGACATCTTCGCCAAAAGCCAGGTACGAGATCGCACCCAGAAGTATGAATAATATAGTGATAACCATAAGCGTTCTGCGTAAAACGCCTGGGAACTTTTGGGGTTCTTTCATGGATTCCGTGATGGGTATTACTAGATGTAGATACATACACACACGTTAGATCAATAACGTACATACATTGTACTCGACAATTAGGCGATTAAGCGATAATGCCACAACACTTTACCTAAGCCAATGCCTTCATATGTAAAGGCAACTGTACCGATGAAAAGTGGAAAATGGATCGGGTTCCAAAATACAGTGACATCGCCCACACCGATCACTACCAACTCCTTCAGGTCATAGTAGAACAGGTAAAGCAGTCCAATGACAATAAATACATCCGCAATCAGGGCAAATACCGAAAGACGCTGGATCTTTCGAATCATGGCCAAGGGTATAAATGCAAAACTTTGGGCAAGGATCAAGAGATGCATTGGAAGCAGCACGCGACATTTGGAGAACGCAAGGACCAAGGACTGTAAGTTTTCGGCAACAAATACCATGTAGGCACATACGAACCCGATCTGTGAGAGCGTGATAGCCACCAATACGGCAACCTTCATCTTTGGGCCGTACAAGACCCCGCCCATGTCACCAAAACTCGCGTGGACCACCAACCGCGTTTGTACCAATAATAAAAACGACCACAATGAGATCAATGCCCATATAATAATTCCCACTGTCGAAAACACCAATCCTCCGTTATAAAACCTATATTGTACGAGTACGATCATAACCGTCAGCTTTTTCTGATATTTTGTTTGTTGTTGTTGTTGTTGTTGTTAAACGATTGTAACTTACGCTTTGGGCAGAAACATGATCCCTATACAACAAAATAAATAACGCCATTTTGTTACCACTTATTGATCCTTGTGCATCTTGCTTTTTCTCTCCACTACCCCGTAAACAATCCAAAAGTCAAATGACTTTATATATACTTTACCTGTGGTAACAAATGATTTGAGTAACAAAAACATAGCCTTGCCCGGGGTCGCTTTGCCCTGCAGCGTCTGACCTGGCCGTGATCGTGACATGAGGGGCATTGTTTCACGCGCCTGCAGCTGGTGAAACTGTACTGGATAATTTCTCGTCGATGACGTGCTTGCTGGTAACGGTAGTAATGGTGGCTCGCCATTAAGATTACTTTCGCTTCTGCTACTACTTTCGCCACCGTTATTATCATTATTATTGCTGATATTATTAATGCGCTGATGATTGATGCCGTTACTATTACTAGTGCCCCTACTGTTAGAATTCGTCGAAGTATCGCATGATTGATAGGATGCGCGATTGATCATGTTGTTGCCACGGTACGCCAACCCTTCTTCCTCTTGATGATTATGATGATGATTATGATGCCGACGATGCCCAGTAGTAGCGGTAGTGATAGTCTCTTCATCACTTAGAGAGCTCAAGGAAGATGACGATGATTCTTCGTCGTCGTCACTCAAATCCTCGCCACCAAAATGTCCGTACAAACAGAGGAATTCGACAAAACTGGATGTGACAAAGTTGGGCGGGGACTTGCCTTGGCGTGCCGCTTTGCTCAGGACATAGTGGCGCCGGAACCCGCCTGGTTGCTTCAATGATTGTAAGAGCGGATCGCTGATAGACGGCCGTACTGCAGGCAACGAGATTGATTCCGCGCGCTGCCGTCGCAATTGTTGTTCATTCTCTACTCGTGCTGTCCACTTGTATATTTCATCGACGATCGCACCGCCAGGTAGTAGGTGATGCGTGCTGTAAATGGAGGATGTCGTGTTATCTTGCTGATTGTTTGAATAACTGCCTTGTTCTGACTGATTTGTAGCAGTGGCAGTAGCAGTTGAAGTCGCAGTTGTTGCTGTGGGTGGTGCAGGTGTAGCTGCTGCTGCTGTTCGGTGGCTATTATTACTACTAGTACTGCTGCTGTTATATGTGGTACGACGGGGTATCTGTGAAGCTATAGGTGTTGCTGCTACTGAATTTGACGATGAGGCATGCTGTGACCGAGTTGGACGAATGACAAGATGTCGCCTCACGACTCTGGCTACTTGCTCAACTGGTAAATCCGCCGTCAATGAACGCTCCATAAGTCAAATTGCAAAAAAAGGTGTGGTGAGAGGGAGGAGCAGAATATTGTTATTGACAAAAAAAGCACACACAAAGTTGCCGGTCGTTCTATCTATCTTCTTTCTTGGTTCCGTGGTATATATAGAATAGTGGTAAAAAACAAAGTAGCAGGGAACAGACCCAAACGGAGAGGGGTTGGGTTATGCTGTGTATATATGTGTGTGGTGTGTGGTACGGGTTATTGTACTTCCGTGTATAATGTACGCACACCACATTATAGGACACAGCAATGGATGAAACCAGAAGACTCTGGTAAACCCTGAAAGTTATAGGATCGATTCACCCAACTTGTTTGCCTTATCGGGGAAGTAAAGAAGAATATCTAACTCTGTGGAATCGACATTGTCGTTGGTCGGCATTCGTTGACATAATTTTCGATTGATAAGATAAACCATGGCATTTCCAGCCCGGTACACGCATAAATCACCAATCACATCGGAATTGAAGTTCAATGGAAACGAACGATGCGATTCTTATAAGGAAATCAAACACCATTCTATTGCCAGCTCTTTGAATAATACTCATACTGAACATACATTCAAACGATAACAGCAAGCGAGATGCATTCTCGTTGATACTGTTTGTGGTTCAATAGTTTCATGCCCAACTAAAACCTTATAATTGCTCATGTTGCATCTTTCTATTGAGGAGAACATACTAACGCCTAGTAAGGTATGTACATCTGGCGTACATAAGTTTCGCCGAGCAGGTGCGGGCTCGTTCCTGTTTGTTTATTATCGAAAGCTAACAACCGAACTGCAATGCACCAGTCAGCTACCCATGAACAATACATACGTAACTATTTATATATTGCTCGCTATCTTCTTTCTTTGAGTGTGTCCTCATGTCCGGTAAAGTGATGATCTTGTACTTACTACTTTGCCCCAATCTCTCACAAATTGGAGCACCAGATTGTAGCTGCTGTATGTAGCTATTGTATCGTATAACTGCTTCATTGTTAAATGCACCACTGTCAAGTATGACTAGAGACAGAGCTGTGTATACGTGGACTACTATATTAATCGCGAAGCTGTCGACAAGGATACCGTAATGAAGCATGAGACACATCTTTTACCTTACCAAATTATTATTGTACATTTGCCACTGCATTGTTAGTACATGCATTGCACTACTGCCTCCTTCTGCCGCTGCTTTCGCTGATGCTTCCGGGGTTATTTCTCATCCTGGAGTTGGGCATCGTACTTGCGATACACAGAAGCGCTTTGCAAGAACTTTCAGATGCGGCAAGTGGCATTGAAGCAAACAAAGTTCATGTCATCGATTGGATCAGTTTAAAGGGTTGCGTACGGTCGACTTATACAATTTATATTTCCTAACAAATGGTATGGGTTCTTATAAAGCAGTAGAATTTATATTTACAACTACTCCTTTATGAGTATCGTATATACTACGACAACTAGTAGCTCGTTGTTTATAGTTTGCCTGCTTTGCACACTCCGTACATATTCACATATTTAAACTAAGTGCTTGTGCCTACATTGGTCTCGCCACAGCATCTCATTAGCTAGCATGCATCAAATACCTTCACATACATAGCCCTTTTCTCTGACTTACTATGTGGCGTAAATAAGGAACAAAACTTTGGACGTATTTATGTTTATGTTTGTGCACATGCGTGGATTCTTATACCATTACGGAAAGTGAGATGCCAAATGCGTCATGGGGCCGGCCGCCTTCTATACAAGATGTGCGTGCGTCACGAAACAAAAGGGGAGAAGTAATCAAGACCTATTTTTTAATCGAGGTTTAAGCAAGTGTCGATTATTTATCTATCGTAGACCGTGATTTCCAAAACTTCTTCTTTCATCAATTTCAAATAGCCATCATACTACATATATATCGGAATGCCCCTTGGAACCATGCTATTGCTATGGGCCACTTTCAAAACCTGCTAGCTCGACATTCCTTTCTGCAACACGTAATCCTGCACAGTTTAGTCGATCAGATATTTGTAGGGCTCCAAGACCCTAAAACTCAATAAACATCTATTCATACAAACAAAAACATACATATCGGAATGTACTTCGGCAATCTCTCCTCAGCCCTTACTTATGTCCCATTATATGGGATTCTTTCAGCTGTGGTACCCCTAATTGTACAGCAAGGAAGAGACCAACTACACAAGGTCACTAAGTCTTCCATTAAAAAAAATCTACATTTGAGCTAAAGTGGAATGTAATCCTGGCGGCCTTGAGTTCTGACAACCTATCCTGGAAAAAATATCAAAGCGTTTATTAGCTGAGAACTCGGAAAAGAAAAACTTGCTGTCAACTTATCTTTTTCAAAAGAAAGGTCCTAGTTCCATTTTGTTATATATTTAGCTTGCGATGTGGTGTGTAATCCTACTTTATCCGACGGGTACGTCAAGACAAAGTGTTGATAATAAAAAGTAAGTATATTTACTCTTCAAGTTGGAGAAAAATCACTACACACCATAAAAGATCAAAATCAGTATCGTTCACTTCGATATGGATTTTAAAAAATGCTAATGCGTAAGACGTTGGCAGCTAAATAAGCTGCGAATCACTGCTCTGAGCACATTGAATTCGTCTGAGTAGCTCAAATTACTACCTGAAAATAACAAGCTTTACCATGCTCTAAATAGCTCTTTTTCCCTTGGAAAGCTTCAAATATTAAAGAAACCGATGTTGCTCATTAGTAACACAATATTATACCCAATGATCCACGCTTAATGCTGTAATTCTATAAATGGTCATGAAGCCACTCTGCAAGACGATAATCATCGTGTAGTAGGTCGCAATCAAACTTTTGCTGTTTGAAGAAAAGACATGCAGCGATGGACAGTGATGATTCTATACTATGTTTTAGATATGTCAAGTGGTACATATAAAGTTTTGATGTCTTGAAGAGCATACTTGCTCAATCACTCTTCATATATGCTTACGGTTGCACCGATACAGTTTTGAGGTGCTCCGGTAAGAGAGCTCTTTGCCATCATGTTGCCACTGTAGGTGGTTGCACCAAGCATTTCGGCAATCCTGGATTGATCGCTCAATTTTCTCAGCGACACGTCGAGCCCGTGTTTGTCGCTGCAGACGGGTAGATGCTTCGCTTAATGATCAAGGTTGTCTACATCGTTTGAACTTTTCGACTCGTGCAAATATTCGCACTTATTGAAATGAGATTGAATACCACTCTAGACCAGCTTCTTTCTGGGGCTTATATCGGTGCCTCCTCAACATGTGTGCTTACATCATGCTTGGCATTTTTTTGGACTGATTTAATTATTGTCTAGGTAATGTGAGTTGGTTGATTCTTCTTTTCTATATATGTCTGTTATATAGTCTGTATGTTATCTAATTATTTTGCTATTAAGCTGTCGTGTATACTACATTTCATCAACCTCGAGTCTTTTGTATTGCTTTTCGCCTTTTCTCAACGTTTGCAGTTGCATTATACGCGAGAGAAGACATCGCGTACGCTTGGTGCGGTTGCATCATACACGACATTACGAGTTGGATTTACTTATGGGTAATAAAGCCACTTTACAAGCTCACTCACCACCTTTACCCTCTTTATGCGACTGGTGATAGGTGGAAGTGATGGTGGCGAGCCAAAATTATAATGTTGGATTTTTGCGTTAGTGAAAAGTTACATTTTTAACAATAAAACTTGATGCTTCTTTCTTTGTGAGGTCATCTAAGCTCTTGATACAGTAATTGGACTTTATCTTCCCCTTTCTAATGCTAGCTTTTAACCTATGCTCAATGTCTAATCCATTTTTTTAATTCGTATCGCATTGTGTATATTACAAGCCGACGAGGTTTTAATGCGTCTCGCGTCTTCGCGATGTCTGTGTCTGCATCATACATGTTGTGTCGCGTACGACACTGTCTGCTTGTAGCTATCAGATGAAACGTTTGAATCTTGTATTTTTCCAAAATTTTACAGCTGTAGTTTTTGTTTGTATTAATAACGCTGGTTTATAATAATGAGTGTAGGTCAAATATTCCTACCGATAAGCTCAATACATAGGGTCGCATAATGTACAAGAGGAGGATGCTTTTCTAACAAATCTGTGTGCACAATAAGCTACGGGCGCACCTTTGTTATATTTAGAGGTGGATATAGATCCCCTTTAATACCGGTTTTATACCATCATGTGTACTGCTCATATGCATATAACCATACATTTTCAGCACTACTGTCAATTATACATGAATCATATCATAAGCTGTTTGTTATTTACCAGCACCTGATCATTCTTTGGACGCTCAAGCAAGATAAACTTGCCAGCCTGAAGGGGCCTATTCAATGAAAGATTTACCAATCTGATCCATAGCGATAATTGCTGAAGTATAAATATAAATGAAACGTTGCCAAGCAGCCATTAGGCGAAACAGAAGAGCTCCTCTCGCTCCATTACCTTAGCCACTGAGAAACGACAGATACGACTTTGATGTACTATCGACTTCCTGTCTTTCCGCGGATACGTAGAGCCCATCTGTTTAAGCTAATAAGTTGACACATTATTGTTTAATAAGCACGCGATATTGGCTGGCAATAAAAAAAGGCCTGATGGTGACTTTTTCGCCGTACACCCAGAGAACGAAATGATATTATTTGATATGACCCTAAACTACTACTAGCTCATTAAAGCGTACGTTTGCTAGACAATTTTATTGTTCAGCTTATAAAGCTGTCACGGTTGAATTCGTATAGTAAAAAGTTCGCTAGAATGTAAGGGAATTCTCCTGCTCCTTAGAACACTTGGAATCATGTGCATGTTCAAATGCCGCCTCTCCAAGCGAGGCGGGCTTATAGTTTAGTACTATTTGGGACCTGGAACCTCTTTCTTTCTTTGTAAAAAAGACATACACATACACACACACAACTCATTTGAAAAAGGGGACTGTAATGGACGCAAACAAAAAGATAAAAGACAATAGAAATGACAATAATAGCGATAAATCACCACCCGATCCGGATGAACTTGTCGACGAGTTTGACGAGAAAGTGGGGTTACACTCGGAAAGCAGTGCCATGGCTGAAACGGACGAATTGGATGAAAAAGCAGCTCTACAACAAGACCATCAAGATGAATTGGACGCTTTGTTGGAAGACACGCCACCGTCTTCAAGGTTTGTGGAAAGGAAAAAGAGAGTAAAGGCGAGATAAGAAAGAAAAGGACCTGCATATATACATAATATGAGGTTGCTAACTTTAAATCGTCTTTTTTCCAAACACTCCTTAACTTGAAAAGACCAGAAAGCCGTGGCACTAATGAGGGTCAGGAAAAACGAAACGATGCAGAATTGCAACATATTTTCAACCAGTTTGACGACGATAAGGATAAGGACAAAGATAATGAAGAAGAAGAAGGAGGAGGAGGAGGAGGAGAGCAGCAACAGGAACAGAAACAACAGCAGGAACAACTGGAGGACCGGGCTGACAATGTATCAGGTGCGCTATGTTCTGTTTGCTTGACTTGGAAAAATGGGGAGGAAATGAAAGAAGAAGAGATACTGATCCGAGTATGTGAATCGTTTGCTTATAGTAGGTGACTCTAAGCGTGCTTCGACAGTCAGTGATTCCAGTGCTTCGACCACAAACACGGGTGCAACTCGACGACCATCATTAGCAGAAATAAAGCGAACAGCAGAGGAGACAAAGGGCCGAGAACGACAGGAAACACCATTCGATTTTAACAGATTCTTGGAGCAAATGAGACGTCGGGGCGCTGTTCCTATCACCCGTTACTTCAAAAGGTACGTCTTTCAAAAACTTGCGTTTTGCTGTTTGACAACTATGTGTAAATGGTCGATAACGCATGTAATTGTAGCTTTCTTCAAGCATTTGACCGTCGTCCTTGGGCTGTTAATGAACAGATCAAGATTATCCAGGACTTTTTGGATGTAGGTCGTACAGATATACAAATCACTAGTGTTGTGAGCTTTACTCACGCAAGGGATACTCATTGACAGCTAATTTTTCCTTGCGTAGTTTATCTATGTCAAAATGCGCGAATGTGAAGTTTGGCGAAACGTCTCGGACCAAGAGTTTGAAAATGCAAAGGAAGGCATGGAAAAACTTGTGATGAATCGACTTTATCATGCGTAAGTACCTGCTAGAAATGCAATGATGGGGAAGGAAGATTCGGGCCCATTGTTTGTCTAATCGATTTAATGTATATTATATGGCTACAGCACGTTTTCTCCGAGCACGACAGATGATAAAGAGAGAGACGAGATTCTTTCACAAAAGATTAGCATATTCAGATGGATTCGTGAAGTTCATCTCGACATACCCGACACTACACACAATGAATCGTTTTTGACTTTTGCAGAGACAGGTACGACGGAAGGGCTGAGGAAGAGATGGTGGATGTGGGTTTGTATCGGCCCTTTTCTAACAAACAATGATACTCGATATGGACAATAGAACTGTTAAAAATCAACAATTACAAGGCACCACGAGATAAACTGATTTGTATCTTGAACTGCTGCAAGGTTATCTTTGGTAAATTTTGAGCCACAAACATTCACAGCAATGCATGTGCGGGCGAAACAAGAGAAAGTTAGTCTTGGCTAATGCTGCTGTTATCCTTGATGCGCATATCGTAGGGCTTATCAAACATGTTGATGGCGAAGGGGGCGCTGACAAGTTCCTGCCTATCCTAATCTACGTTGTGCTTCGAGCAAATCCACCACGCCTTGTATCCAACGTTCAGTAAGGATATCTATATTCATACATAGGCTCCCTTTTCTGACAATGACTAGGATCATGAACTCTTTGTTCTGAACAGAAAGTTTGAAAAAAAATAGATACATTTCACGCTTCAGGAATCCTGAGCATCTTCAATCAGAATCTGGTTATTACCTCACAAATTTGGTAAGGACGCGTGTACACAGTGTTCTCTGCTAGCGCTACCGAATGTTTCTGCTAATGACATATTGGGGCTCCATAGATGGGATCTATCACATTTATTGAAACCATGGATGCAAACTCTCTATCTATCACCAAGGAAGAATTTGATGCGTAGGTTGCAAACTCAAAAAAGAAACCTGTCTGGAAGTAGTCGTGGCTAAAAATAAATCAATAATAATCATAGGAACATTGAGCGTACAATGGCCGAGTTGAAACTAGAACGACCCAGTGTCTCCCAAGACAAACAAAAGATAAACTATGACAATGCCGTTCATCCATCACGGTCACCACGAGCACAACCACAACCGCTGATTGACCCTGTTAAGGCAGCAGCATTGATTGAAAAAGGGAGCACTTTTGCACAGAAAACCATGCAAAAACCGCTCAATTTTGTTGGCAAAATATTCCAAGGACTCAATGAAGGGTCACCCGGTGGAAGCGATGACGAACATGCGCAGCGATATTACCAGCAACAACAATATGGGGAAGTCGACCCTTATTACTATCAGCAACAACAACAGCAGCAGCAACAACTACAGCTTGGTGGCCAACCCGGCCAAGTGTACGCGCAGCCATACCAGCAGCAGCAGCAGCAGCAGCCAGGAGGCCATCCCGAGAACATACCACAAATGCCGCCTCGACCTCTTCCACCACTTCCCGATCCACGAGCTGCCGAAGCACGACGGGCGTTTGATGAAAACTTGCAATCGATTATCACAATGTTTCCGAATGTGGAGCCACAAGTATGCTTCATGATTCTACAAGCGAACGAGGGGCATGTCGGCCAAACGATAGATACGTAAGTGGAACATCACAACAGAGCGATGTTGTGGGTTTCTATAATAAGAAAGCGTCAGCTGATTGTTTGTATATGCGTACACACCCCACTTAGGCTCCTGGAAATGGCGGATCCGCCAGGCAGCAGCAGCAGCACCGCCGCCAAGACGCCCGAGGACGAGTTTCCCGATACCGAACGAACGCTCCAACTGTCAGCAGCGGAAGAGGACGAGCGTGTCAATCGCGCAACACCTCCTGTGCCTGTCCCCAAGGACACACTATCACCTAGTAGTGGAGATCAGAAAGAACAGCAGCAAAACCGAGAATAAAGCGTTGGGTTGCACACTTTGACAGTGAGAGAGAGAGTGTGTGTGTGTGCGTGTGGAATAGAATAGAATAGAGAGATTGTGGTTGTGGTTGTGTAACGTACGAGTGTTAGTATCAGACAGTCGCAAAGGTGGTCCGCCCGCACCGTAATCTTTACGGCAGTATAAATATTTTTTTATTCTCGCTAGCGGACTTCTTCGGATGCAGCTTTCTTTTTCCTCTTTTCCTTTTTTCTTTGCATCTTTCCGCATTATACACGGTCCCCTCTTCATTTTAAAACACCATAGCACACACTCACACATACACACGCATATACAAACATGTCCCGCGCAGAAGGTGAAGTAAACAACGTCGACAAGATCCCTGCCGAACAGAAGGGTGCCTTCCACCAGTTCCTCAAATCACTTGCAACCTTTTCCGGTGACCTGTCATCCCTGGCCTGTCCCGCCTTCCTTCTTGCTCCTGTGTCCTTGATCGAGTATTCGTAAGTTTGCTTCTGGTCCTGGCTGATCGTTATGGGGATAGGAAGAAGTGAAGGGGTAACAGTGATAGCCAAGTGTGGAAAAGCTGATCTTACACTATTCGGAACCATCACAGTAAGTATCGGACTCAGCACCCGGAGCTCTTCACAGCCATCACGGAATCCGATGATGAGATGCAGCGAATGCTCGCCATGGTCAAGTGGTACATCTCATCGTTGAATGCATCATTCTCGAGCCGTGTGCCTGAAGGCGAGTGGGAAAAGAAGCCATACAACCCAGTGCTGGGCGAACAGTACTTTATGACGTGGGGCGACGTCGACGGTTGTGGCGAAACTGACGTAACGTGCGAGCAAGTGTCGCATCACCCGCCAATCACAGGCTTCTATATCCACAACAAAAAGGCTGGGATGAGCTTGAACGGCCACAATGGACAGAAAACCCGTTTCTCCAGTACTTCTTTGATCTGTGAACAAGTGGGCCAGAGTCTACTGACCCTACACAACCGCGACAATGAGTCGTATCTGCTCACGAGCCCACCGCTCACCGTGAACGGTATCTGGTATGCAGGTAAGGATCTATGTTCTGTGTGTGCTGATTGCATGTGATAACATTAACACTGACAAAAATAACAATGATTTCTGTAGCACCATATATCGAATTGACGGGTAACTCATATATCCAGTCTACCACTGGCTTTTATGCTACGATCGAATTCTCGTCGCGTGGCTGGATTTCTGGCGAAAAGAACCATTTCAAGTGCTACATCAAAAAGAACGCCGGCAACCCCAAAGAGTATCTGTACAAGATCGAGGGTCAGTGGAGCGGCAAGTCGACGATCACGCCCTATGGCACGAAGCAATCGTCGCCGTTCATCAACGTCAGCGAGAGCAAGGCTGCATCGATGAAGGACAAGGAGTTGGAAGAGCAGGATGATATGGAGTCCCGTCGTGTCTGGCAAAAGGTGTCGGAAGCCATCCGTGCAGGAGACACCCAGACGGCAGGTGCTGAGAAGAGCAAGATCGAAAACAAGCAACGGGCAGAGCGCAAGGAACGCGAAGAACAGGGTGCTCAGTGGCAGCCCAAGTACTTTACGTGGGAGGAGAACCAGCCTACGGTGTTCTCGCTCCAGCGCATGCTTGCATCCGTGCTCAAGAACAAGTACGATCCACCCAACGCCGGCAATTGGGTGTTCAACCCCAGCAAATCCAGCGATCAGTAGTAGTAGTAGTAGTAGTAGTAGTAGTAGTAGTAGTAGTAGTAGTAGTCCCTCGGCAGCCAAGCGACAAGTGCAACAGCAGCAGTAATACCCGTCTTCTTCCTTCCTCTCTAACTCGTTTACTCCTTTACTATACTAGAATTGTGCCGTTCTATTTCTTGTATATAAATTACACGCTTTATTACTCAACAAATCCCAACAAATAAATCGGAGCATTTTGAAGTGGATTTACTCTCTGTTTGCATGGGTTCCAAATTCGGTTCTCTGACTTTTCTTTGGCCTTGCATTATTCTGTGATTTTTTAAACTTTTTTCTTTTTCTTCTTTCTAATACACATACAACACTTCACGAAATGGAATCTCAGCGAGAAGCAGGCTGCTGCTCGAGCGAGGATGAACGAAAAGAGGCTTTGAACGACCTGATCGGATTATTCGACCTCTCCACCGACAAGCTCAAAGCCATCGCAAGCTATCTGCGCCAAGAAATGGATCGCGGTCTAAAGCAAGACAAAACAAACGTACCAATGCTTCCATCTTGGATCACACGGCACCCCACCGGCCAGGAAGTGGGCGAATACATTGGGCTTGAATTGAGTGGCAAGTGTATATCAGTATTTTGATTCTTACCAAGGTATCACGTGGGATAGTTGTCGCTAAAGAAAACGAATCATGCAGGATCCTCTGTGAGAATTTATCTTGTAACACTACACGGCAAAGGACGAATTACGACACGCCAACAAAAGTATCCTGTTCACCAGCACCTTAAAAAGGGCTCCATCAACGCACTGATCGACTATCTTGCCGTCTCCGTCGACTCCTTCTTGTCATTTGTCGGTAAACCCGATAACCATGACGAACCCATAGCGCTCGGCTTTGTCATCTCGTTCCCGTTAACAAAGCATCAATTATACAATGGACCAAGGATTTCCAGGTGACCAATGCCGATGATAAGAACATTGTCGACCTGTTGCAAACAGGATTGCGTCGTCGCCACATTCCAGTGATCGTAGAAGCGACATGCAACAGTGCAGGTCTGTATTTCATCATCATTACGTCTTTCCACCCCTCCTTGCCTTAGCACTAACTTTAAATATGGTCTAAACATAAAATAGTTGGTTGTCTTTTGGCGCATAGCTACCGTAGCTTGGATACGCTACTCGCATGCACCGTCAGCACCGGCACCAATGCAGGTAAGGTCAAATACATACACACATGAACGTGAAGATCACTAAATCACTATATACTACTTTACAAATCTAGCCTATTGGGAAAAGATGGCACGTGTCCAAAAATGCTTGGATCCAAGCAAACCACTTCCAAGCGACAGCGGCGACGACGTACCAGAGATGATCATCAACACCGAATGGGGCTCCTTTGGAGACTTGAATCCAGAATATCTACCGCGCACCATGTACGATAATTGTGTGAACCGAGAATCTGTCAATCCAGGTGTTCATATCTTTGAGAAATTGGTGTCCGGCTTGTATCTCGGCGAAATTGCGCGCAACATCCTTCTAGATTTCGCAGACCGGCGGGTCTTGTTCGACGGCCAATACAGCGACGATCTTAACAAGCCTTACAGCTTTGAAGCTTCTTATATGAGCGCCATCGAATCCGACGATACTCCCGAACTGGACGATACCAAACACATCATGGAATCCATTATGGATGTTCCCTCTACGACTTTGGATGATCGGCGCGTGATAAAACAGATCTGTGAACTTGTCGGTCAACGCGCTGCACGTTTGGTTGCTGCCGCTATCAGTGCTGTGATTCAGAAACGAGATGCCCTTGATTGTGGCTTGACCATCAGTAGGTTTCTCCTTGGGTCTAGCTCATCATTATCGTTTAATTGTCTTATTGACTTTTGTTTTTGTAAAAAAATAAGGCGTCGAAGGTACGATTTATGAGCACTATCCCAACTTTCCTAATCGTGTTAGCGAGGCTTTACGAGATTTTTACGGGCCCAACGTCGACCGTATCAATATCGGCGTAAGTAACACCGTTGGCTTTTCTTTTTTTGTACTCTAAAGAGAAATAAGGCTGATACATCGTTTTACAGATTACTCGAGATGGAAACGGTATAGGTGGTGCACTTGCAGCAATGTTGGCTAGGATTAAGCGTCAAGAAAAATACAAGTAATAACTACATCGTGTACTTAATCATAGCTTATATTCAACAAAATATATTTTTGTGTAATCCTCTATCATGGTTCTGCGCACTATCTATTGTCATAATTAACACTTGCTGGGTTACAGGGCGCCAACATCGATCATGTTTATCTCGTTTGCACACTATCAACGCGACAATTATCTCAATGAGCATATCATTAAAATATACAATTGATTATCAGTACTTTGGGTGCTATTATGGATTGAGACATTAATTCAGACCTATATTGCAAGATAAATAAACAGCATATGAGTGCATTCATGAAGATAGACATCATTACTTTGGCCTATTGCAGTTGTTAGTTCAAACGGGTATGGTTTGACGGGTAACCGATAACGCTCCAAGACTTTTGTAACTGATACTCGCCGATCAGGATTCTTCAGCAGCCAGTAAAAAGTAAATTGGCCCGGCGATAATGATAAACGCGGTGATTGACAACATGGACCACTTTGCTATTCAAAAAGAATTGGAATCACAGTATCGTAGACAATGTAAGTTTGTTTCGCTGGTATTCATCAACAAGGATAGTTTGGTATCTTCTCGGTAGCATTGCTGGGAGATAGATATCAATATGGCATCTTTGAAAATAAAATTAAGCTCGTAAGCTTTTAATAAAGAAGAGGAGTCCGATCTGCCCAACATCAATTGATTGTCTATAGAAAGAAGCGAGGTTGGATCGGTACTTCACTATTGAATGCTTATTGTCTGTTTTCTATATAAATTGAGCTCATTGTGCATTGAAAAGTAGTCTATCATAGGAAGTCGTCAAAGTTTGATATTCAGCTACCTCCATTTTAGAATGCAATGCGAAAAGAAGTGTAGAAAAAGATGATGTGGTGATATCATTTAGAAGGTATAAGGGAATAGGCGATCAAAAACTATAGAAGAACCCATAAAAAACAGCATTTCATGTGTTTTGGCCTTGCTCACCCGAGATCCTTGAGTTATCAGGACCTAACATGATTCTAATGGATGAAGGGGTGCGGACGCGTGACAAGGCTTCTATGTAGAGTAGACCATGGGTGAAAGGAGGTTCAGACAAGTAGAGGCCAATAGTGCTGAAAGTCTGACCCTGTGCCTTATTGATGGTCATTGCAAATGCCAGGCGAACAGGGGGAGCGTGTTTGTGATGGTTTAGTGTTATTCCGGGGGATTATGATGATGTTGCCCGCATGAGGCACAGTAGCTATTTTAGCTTCAAGTACATATCGTTAGAAAGAGCGTACAATCAGCCGTGTTTCATTGCAGAGACTACCTTGGGTGTGCAAGTTCAGCAAAAGCATGACTGGGCAACCGACTTTGAGTTTTAGCGAGTGTTGTGGGAGGTCGGATGGATATATTGCATTGAGAAGCTCTGGTGGATATGTTATTTGATCTTCCGGATCATCCACTGTATCAGCGCTCTAGAATTCGTGTACAGTGCCTGGGAAATGGTCGAGTATCAAATCATTGATTGCTGTAACGTCGACATTCTTTGGAGCCAAGATAGAGCGACTGATGAGGTAATCACGATCCACGCGTGGTGCGTTGAGGTTGTCGTAAATGTCTTCTATGAGCTCGTACGTGTTGTAAAGCGGCATGAGCATTCGATCTGGGAGCCGGACTCTGTCATCAGCAGTTGGCACCAGCAGCTCAGCATCATCACCAATGCGAAGTTTATAGTGTGCAAACTCGCGAAGCTCGTTTGCGTCATTGGTGTTTGCAGCTTGTTGGACGCGCATGTTGATTCTAAGGTGTTAGATGGACATTGGGACAAAAGAGGAGCGATTTAAACACTGCTGTACGATTTGCGAGCGCAACGCATTTAAAATCACAGGAAAGGCAGGCCTATTATTGTGTTTGATCCAGATACTTCACAGTGAGTACTACCGCTCAGTAGTAAAAGGATGCTAAGTAGAAGAGAGGATACAATGTTGAATACCTGGTGAAAGTCACCACCAAGGTCCATGATTTTTCCACCGAATGGAGCATCAGCAAGCGCGGGATCGTCATGTCTCATGAGATCTTGGATACTCCTGTTTACAGTCCCGATAACATTTTTACTGATCATGGATGCTTCATCCCAGATGATCGATCTTGCTAAACGTATAAGCTGCGCGGTATCGGAGCATGGGGTAAAGCTACACACTGTCATTTCGTTATATTCTGAAACTATTTTGAACGTTGAGTGTGCAGTTCGTCCACCATCGAGTAATAAAGCGGCAGTACCACTTGTAGCTACAGCAAGCGCAATATCTCAGTCACGACGAACATGTTGAAGAAGTGCATAGAAAAGATATATCTTGCTAGTACCACCAGGGCCATTCACAAAATGCACCTTGGCTGATTTGCCGCTTGGCGTAAAGATGCATTGACTGCATCAAAAACAGATTGCTGATGCTCGTTCAAGTCTTGTTGAGAAGCACGCATCAATGCAAGTTGTTCGATATATCGACGGTGCTCACGAATTTTTAACAAAGGCTCGTTGTTGGCATTATCGTTTGGGTTGGCTGGAAGCACAAACCCACCATATTTAAGAAGCGATCTTGATAATCCAGAAAGTACCGATTCAGAATCCAAAAGGCCTTGATCATAAATGGCATCTGTGATGAGTAAATTTGGGTCGTTTAGATCTATGCGGGCAGTACGCAGAAAGTCTTCAACCATGCTATCGCGGTGACGAAGCCATAAATTATGCCGGCCCTTGGGTTGACAGAAAGCCACAATGACTGCGAATAGCTGGCGAAGAGCATGAGGGCGTTGGTACGTTTGAGCTTGTTCAAGGAATTGATGCCATTCTTCTTGTCCGTCAACAGGCCACGTCTTCATGCTGCTGCCTGAAAAAATGGCATCATTTCACCGTCTACTGTTCGCAAAAACTCAAAGCTGGTAGCACCGGAAACATGATATAGCAAAAGTCGAAGATGAAATTTCTCAACTTCGCGGGGGGAAACAGCATAGACACGACTGATTGTAGCACCGAAACCTCATTCACGTATTTTCCAGCGACGTGTGCATTGAACTAGTACAAACTACTCTGAGAAGTTGGAGTAAAGAAGGTTAGCGGCAATGGTGTCGTCTGGGTTCTCTTGGTTGTACTGATACCATGTTGTCAAAGTTATTTCACGGCACGGCCTTCGATCACGTTCCCAGGAGCATCATCCTCATCAAATTGAACAGTTTGTTCATCTTCTAAGTGGATGGCCAAAAGCTGATGCACTGAGTACTCTTTGTGAAGAGGAAGAGATCACAACTGCCAGCAGCCGTCGGAAGCAAAGACATAATGTGCATCAAGGTAGTTGCAAATCTTATCAGTTATCTGTCTATCGTTATTCGTAGCGGTGGTGGTAGTGGTGTTTTTAGCTCGGCGCTGCACTAATACAGCTGACGCGCGCACATGGCCCTTGTAAACGTATTTATAAACATATTGATCGATTGAATGGAAGAGCAATTTCAACGTCGATGTGTGCGTCGTCTTTAACACAAAAATATAAATTGTGCAGCACTATAAATCGATCATCGAGGCTTATACCGTTTTTGTTCTGCGGTAGGCAGGATATTCATCTTCATTCCATTCTGTTTCGTCAGACACGCTTTAGGGTGTCACTTTGTGCATCTGCCGTCAACCATACATGGTGATCTGGAGTTTAGTAAGCCACATGGGCCATGTATCATGTGCCGTTCGACAGCAGCTCTTGCTGGGTGGTTGCTATCTAGAAGTTGAGGCGAAACAATGGCATCGTAGCGTGCCGGTGTCACTGGCTTGTCGTCACCGGCAAGTAACAGAAAAATATGTGCATGTGGAAGGCCGCGCTTTGGAACTCGACGGTGTGCACATTCGTGATAACTGTCCCAGGAAGATATCTCTTGTGAGGACGACCATGAGCTGTATAAGCTTTAGCCCGAAAACACGTGCAGACAGGACAATCTCAAGCGGTCTGACCAGGTAAAAGGGATTATTGGATTTCTGGCCAGCGTGAATTGCACGTAAATGTTACAAAAATACCAAGCTCTCTAGCCAAAACGACGCACAATGCTCATAGCATATTGGTAGATTTGCTGCATGTGGTCTGGTGACTGGTGAGCCAATAAAGGATGATGGCAATATGACGCGGCGTCCGACACTGGCCATGTCATTGTCTCCAACATTCATTGCATTGACGATGTTATGGTATAGGTTAGAACGCAATCTGTTTTGGCTGCGCCGAATGAAGCTCAGATTGTTCATTTTCATCTTTGCCAAAGCGATATAGATAGATCGTGATGGTCAGCATCATCATCTTGCCGCCTCTGGAATATTATCTATGGCAGAAGCAATCGGAGCTGAAGTTGACATTGAGTGGTCAGATGTGTGATCAGCTCACTCGTCTTCATCATCCTGTTGCTTCTGTTGCTGTTATTGCTGTTGAACCTGCTGCTGCTAAATCTGGTGCTGTTGCTGACGTTGCTGATGAACTGCGAATATTCCCCTTTTTGCGAGGCTGCTATTTTTGTTAGTGCGCGGTACTAGTGCCGCTGTTGTTGTGTCCTGTTGGGTGATGGTATCTTACTCATTCACCCTTTGTCTTTCATGAGACACTATACACACGTAGAGACACAGTAGCTGTGTGTACTACCGGTTGTGGCTCAATTCCTCCAATATAATATGATATCATTGCTTCACAGTTCGTCACTGCTCACAGCACTGTTTTTCATAACGTACTATGCCTTGCCACTCGTTACACTGCTCATTCATAACGTACTACTATGAAATTTATGTTGCCATTTTCAATTGACCCGTCGATTAAGTTTACACAATTCGAGCATGGTGCATTTCTGTTATTCGCTTCCTCCCTTGCCTTCTATCAGACATAAAATGCACGCGCATGTGCAGCCATACAAAATACGGGTTGTAGTATTTTTTTCTACACTTAAAAAACGATATCTTACTCTAAACACAAAACACTATCCATCCTTTTAATTTTGAAATGCAGTTTGATTCTTTAGTAGTGGAATGCTACAGCTCTTTGGAAGTAGTTTATATATTGCTTTTTTTTAGCTTACTATTTGTACCAAGCATTGAAGTCTTCTTTCTTTCCAAATAGCGTTCATATTTATTATTATATTCAGCTACATTTTGACTATAATCGAAGATACAGATTTTTTTTCTCTTTCATATGATATATATGATTCGATTCTTCGATTCTACCGATTCTTACTAAGACGATTCGATTTGATTCCTCACTTGGACGATACCGATTCGATTCCCTCAGGAGGGTAACCCTTAGTATTATGTTTTTAGTGAAATTATAAATATATAAAAAACTATAAATAATATCATTTTAAATAAATTA